CCCCCCCCCCCCCCCCCCCCCCCCCTCACCATATCTCTACTGCCACCCTCAGGATAAACTGTCCATATGTCATGTCATACTGTGGTTACAGATAAAGTGAAAAGCAATAGGGGATGTGGTGGGAGGCGAGGAGGCGGGTCTGATAAGAGGGCGTAAACATTATTTTATGTATTTTTAGATTAGTCCCAAACGGTCGACTCTATCTCAGAATTGGCCTTGCAAGCTTAGGCCTGATTTTAAACCGTAGATGGCATATTCATTCTCAAATTCATATTTAAATTCATATTATTTAGTTAAAAACTTGAAAAAACATACTTAAGTGTGCAGTTACTCTTTAATATTGATACACCTGCAGAGGATACTGTGCAGTCTCTAGGGGACGCTATCAGGAGTGAAGACTGCTAATCTGGACACTATGAGTGAAGTTTTGTTGATGAAGCAGCAGGTGTGATTCGACAGCGACAGGCTCACTCCACCTCCTCCACCCTCACACCTCCTCCACCCTCACACCTCCTCCACCCTCAGTGGGATGACAGGACGAAATCCAGCAGCAGCACCAGAGGGGATGAGCCTGACAGCAGGAATGCGTCCTGCAGGCCAACACACGTCTACAGCCGCCAGAAAACAAAACCTCCAACAGACTTTCACTGCAGTCTGACAGAGATCTGCAGAGAGGAGATGAGAGGATACCGAGCCATCAAGTACATTTTATTCATCTGCTGCTACGTCTTCTGGGTGAGTCTCTCTGTTTGGAACAGTCTGAGGATCAAACACTTTACAGATTCATTATTGTGATCGCGTTCTTATGAACGTGTTGCACTATATGGTTTTACAGCAAGTGATTTCAACACCACAGTTACACCATTTCATAAGGAACGGATGGTTTTCCACTGAGTTTGAAAATAAGCTCTTTATTTATGAAGTGAAAAAAAAAAGTTTTATGTTTTCAAAAATGTATACAAACATTTAACATGCTTGATTTAAAGACAAATAGAATTAGCTGTGCACTGTAGAGCCAAAGGTATGTGGACACTGTACTTTTGGCCTGGGTGTGTTCTCTTGGAGTAAAGTCTTAATGCTTCAGCATACAGTGATATTTGTATGCAAGACCACTTTTTTACAAGGAAAAGATTATAAGTTGCCAAATCAAAACTATGAGATACAAAGTCAAGTTTCCATCCAAATGTTGCACAACTTTGAACCAAATGTAGTGAAAACTGTAAAAGGAAATGCAATTTAATGGTTTTGTTTTCATGCAAATCTTTCAAGCAAATGTTATATGAGCGAGTTGGAAACATTGCTTGGTGGAGTTAAGGGTCTGGGAATTTTGGTACAAAAATGTGCAAGGTGTTGTTCGACCACGTTGGAAAGCAAAAGTGTTTATATTGGTTCAGAACATCCACACTGGAAAGTGGACTTAAAAAAGGTCAGAGGCTATTTGATATTTAAGTCACATGTTTCGGGTACGTCATCATTTATTCACTCAGTCTCCAATCAACGTTGACACGTTTTGTTTTTATTTATACACCAACTTTTCCACTTCAGGGAAGCATTATGTTTATTTTAGCTGTATTTCCAGGTTTTTTATGTGTAAATTGAAAATTCTCATAAAATCAGTTTGATGGAAACCTAATTATGAGTTATTACGGCAAAATAATTACTTTGGACTTACTATTACTTACTACTGTCATTTTGACTTACCATGAGGAGCTTAACTTTTGCCGTTTTAGTTTTTTTCCTGGCAGAAATGGGCTTCCATATATTTTACACAATTCTGTTCTTCCAACTGCAAGGCAACAGTTAGGGGGAGACCCTCTTCTGTTTTTATTTCCTAGAAAGAAGATCTCATATGACTAATCATTCTTATAACTTTTACTTGGATAGGACTCTGTTATTGATTGTTTTGTCAAACTGCTGTTTCCAAGGAACTGTCAGACTCCATATGTCATCCTCCCACTTGCAGAAACACGTCTCCACCAACGCAGATACTTGTAGTTCTTGTTTTGTTGAACAGTTATCGTCAGTACCCAAAGTTAGATGTTTCAGATGGATACTATGTCAGTTTGATCTCTCTGTGTGAGCAGGATAAATAGCTCCACGATGTGTTTAGCCTAGCTTAGCACAAACACTGGAAGCAGGGGGAAACTGCTAGCCTAGTTCCGTCAAAAGGGGGGGGGGGGACAAATATATTGTATGTTATTAGCTAACATGCTAGTTTGCAGTCTATCCTGTAGTAAGCTGGATTTAGTTGACAGTGGAGTCCAGACAGAATTCAAACCCGGAATGGTCTGTAATGTATTAAGGCACATTATTGTGCTTTGATGTTTTTTATGGGTCACTGATTTAAAAACAATCTGTGCTTCATGTGGTGAGGTTCTGATAAAATAATCAGTTTCTCTGTGACTCTGCAGGTTGCGAGCGCAGTCCTCGTAGCGGTCGGGATCTACGCCAAGATTGCAAAGGAGAAAGGTTGGTCATAAAAAAAGGCAGAATTCACGATGTGTAACTGCCCTTTAGTGTTCTGTACGTTTTCACTGTATTTTACAAACCGGCACGTTTCACAAAATCTATTTTTTTGAAACATATGGTGGCGGCATCGCATGTGACGGATGATTGCTGCTCGCAAATTGCTGATACATTTTTGAGTCCTACAGGGCTCTCACATGCACATGCAGGAGTTGCAAGTACGGCACCTATTTTGATTGGTGTAATGTGTCGATATGAGCAAGATGGAAGAAGTGGAGCTGATGTGATTTATTTTCTTTCAGGTTTACTCTTAAAACAGTTCCTTGCTCGCACAACGACTTTTACTCAAAAATCTGATAAACTCCAAAGTTTCAGTCCTGCAGAGGAAATCTAAAAAAAGGAAAACAAAGGAATCCAACTACATCACATATAAAAGCAATAGGGCTATAGTGGTGTGTGTGTGTGTGTGTGTGTGTGTGTGTGTGTGTGTGTGTGTGT